TTATCATTTATATTTCATGCATTTAATTTTCTGCACTTTATTTTATGCACTTCTTTTTCGAAGCATAGAAGTAGAAGTAAATTAATGGTTAGTTTGATTGTTTACTCAATCACCCCGATTGTTCACTCAATCATCTTTCATCATCTCTCTACTTTTAATTTTTCTTTTCTGTAAGGATTTTTCAATCGTTACTGGCACGCTCGCATTTATGATATTTTCCTTCTTAAGAAAAATAAGCCAACAAAAATATTACAATAAATCATAATCAAACAATACTTGAAGTATCATTAAAGACCCGATGCACTAGACCTAACCAAAAACAAAAGAAATTAGTATTTTCGGTTAATAGCCAAAATAATATACTGTAAGTTATAACCAAGTCATAATTTCTATATTATAGAAATTTTCATTGTTTTTTAGGAAAAAAAATATTTTGATACAAGTAAAACTCATAATTTTTGGGTAAATTTGATTAACACAAATGAAAATTTGATTTCAGGTCGAGAATACCCTTAAAAAAAAAAAAAAAAAAAACTTTGAAAGAAATTGCTTTTATTAGCCTTTTACATAGAATCACATACACAGTGGAAACGATTTCATCAGCCATTATTTGTATTTGGCTTTCTATTGTTAAAATTTTCCACACATAAAGTATTAAGAGTCAAAATCAATTTTTCATTTTAAAAATAAATTCTTGTGCATTGCATGGGTCACTTATTAATATATATATATATATAGTATTTTCCTTACTTTGGTGACACATTCTAAAGGCTTTTTTTTTTCCCCTAAAAAAATCACATCAACATGTCTTTTCATTTACATATAAAGTTCTATACAAACTCAATTTCAATAAAAACTAATTTTATATGAATTCTATTTGAGAAATACTTATTTTCCATATATTTTTCATCATGTATTTAGTTTGTCATTGTCAGATTTTTTTTTTTTATATAGTTGATATTTTAATTTAATTATTATCATATTTGAAGAAAAAATTATCTTGATAAACGAATAAATAAATGAGACAGAATGTACTTAATTACACGCATTGCAAAGATCAAATTAATTTTTTTTTGTTTATCTTATTGATGTCTTAATATTAATTTTTCATTTAACATGAAATTATTTATTACAAAACATTTATATTTAATTTAAATTTTATATACCTATATACAATATGTACGAATAATTCAAAAATAATATTAAACAAAAAAATCAATACTCTACATAATTAATATATGTATTTTCTTCTTAATCCAATTATAACATATTTATATTTAATATTTTAAATAAATTTTGTGTAGTTCTATTTCTATATATTTTTATTTTCTAAATAAATATAAAAATTAAATTAAATAATTAGAATCAGTTTTAGTTTTATATTACTAATTCTTTTTCTTATTTAATTGTTATTTTTAATATCAAAATGAGTGTCTAATTTATTTTCTTATAATTTAATATATTATATAAAATCATTATACGATAATTATACTTTTATAATACAATAAAACTAAAATTATCAAAATAAATAAATAATTTAGCTAAATTTATTAAACCATCTAAAAGTAGGCTCTATTTAATGCCCATCTATAAGAGATGAAAATTGGTAAAGCTAGGTGACACAACTTATGTTCATCGTTTGTGAGGGGAAAAAATATATTTAAAAAAAATAATTATTAGAAAGTTAAAAAATGTTACTTTTTTTCTTATTAATTTTTAATATGACAGACTCTACATCTCGTCGCTCAGTTGTGATGGTGTTGAAGTTCACTATTCTATTGGATAACATCACGTATATGTATTTACAACCAATCAGGCTAAATTCATTATAGATTAATGTAAAGATTTAAATTATGAACATTTGGGAAATGAATGGGTTATGTTTCTAAATTAAAACCCTCCTGTAATTAAACAAGGGCTTTATGCAGAGAAAGAGGTTGACCAAGAGAGGCTGCGAATCAAAAACCCCACATTTTCAGTCTTTGACCCTTTGGCCATCAGAAAGGACCGAAGGGCAGGTCCAGCGGCCTAGTGGGGCTGCCTTCTACTATTAATTTCTTCAATCTTCTAGAAAAGAACCTTTCTCCTAAAAATGAATGAAAAGTATAAAAAGAAATTAATACACTCTAATTTGAAATTTTTGGTAGAAATATGCCAATTTATCTAAATTAAACAAAGAATTATTGTTCAAATTGTGGATCTGAATGATAATTAGTTAAAATAGTTAATTACTTGCTTCAATTTTGATGTTCGGAGTACTGGCTCTTGTTATATTAAATTTAAAAAAATCATCATCAATAAAATTGATGGCTAACCTAGCCATTTACATTTAACTTGTTACTCATGGCTGTCTCAAAATACTTTGAATATAAAATGACAACCTAAAATGAGATGTTTTTTCACAATTTTTAATCTTTTTGTCACATTTTTATTTAACATTTATTTTTCTAGCGTGTTTCTATTCAAAAATGCTAATTGAATCTTAATATTCAATTTTTGCTACCATATCTTTTTTATTTGATAATAGGAAATTACATAAAACAAACAAACAAACAAACAAACAACAACAACAACAACATCATCATAAATTTGTGCGATAAGATTTGAACCTTATAACAAATTAAATTATGAGTTATTAATTCATGAGTTTTTAACATACTGTTGTACAAATTTAGATTCATGGCCAAAAAAATAAAAAATAAATAAATAAACAAAAATAAATAATAATAAAACGACAACAACAACAGCAACTAAGGTTTGACCCTTATACCAAATTAAAATATGAGTTTTTAATTTTATCAATTTAAACCCCTAATATTTTGATTTGTTTTCAATCGAAATTATTTGCCTGTTTTATTAAGTAAAATGTTATTTTAGTTATTAAACTCAACGAAAATAATATTTAGACATTTTATTGATTTTAATGGTTATTATACTCTTTTTTTTTGGTCAGTTTTATTCGACAAAATTAGGCAAATAATTTAGATTGAAAACAAATAAAAAATTAAAACTTTCAATTTTTTTTTTCTTTTTCATTGGAAAAAATGAATAGTATTGATGCAATCAGCAGAGAATGAAAGACATCATTTTGACAGGGAAAATAAGCCCTACCAAATTGCTAGCTAAACCACCATACAATACTTGAAAAACCTAAAGTCAAACAAAATGGACTCATTCAATTTTATAGAGACATCTAAGTCCCATCATCAATTTCCTTGTCTGTACAAACCAAAAAATAAAAACTAAATTAAAAATTGGCTTACGTTACTAGTATTGTTTCAAGAATTGACAAGATGAAATAAATTAGTAAAATAAATGCATTAGCATCACATCATATAAGCTTCTCTCTCCAATAATACCTTAGTTTTTTGTTATTTAATTTTGGTATGAAAACAGAAGCACTATTATGGATTTATTATGGAATGGTATTAAGGGTGTGTTGGAGCCGGACAATAGAAAGTTTGGATTATTATTGTTTTGAATTTTGATTAGGACATGGGCTTGGAGTTGGACTCTTCCCACAACATAATCCTTTTCTTTTTCTTCTTTTCTTTCCTTTTCTTTGTGGTTTTAATAGTTGACTTTATTAAATTTTGACTGCATATAAATTCAAAATTGCTGAAGAGGAATACGAGAAATACGTTCCTATGAATGAAATTTAAAGAATTGACAGGCCGGAAAAATTGCAGAGCATATGATTTAATTCGATGCAAAGCGATTATATAAATATACTTTTGAGCAAGCCATGATGAAAGTCTCAAAAGAGATTGAGTTGGGCTTGTGTGCTTGATGAACCATTTTAGCCCAATAATAATCAAAGCTCAATGAAGATACTGAAATCTGCTTATTGTGTACCTTTTAACCCAAAACAATTGAGCATATATCTAATAACAAATAACTATCATGTATTTTATTTTAAATTTTTTTTCATATTTCTATCTACAATTGGTATATCATGTATAGTTTACTATGATGCTGATGTCACCTTTTGACACAAGAATTACGGATTAACCACGATTAAACTAAATTAACCACAATCAAAATACTTGAGCACAAATATAAAAAGTAGATAAAACACCCAAATCAAGTATTTGTACACGTGTGTGTGCACATGCATTAATGTTTTATATATGTAAAACTCAGATGTGATATTAATGTATCTTTAAGATTTTGGTTGGATAGGTGCGGATTTGAAATACATGAACTTAATATTAATTATTTAAAAAGAATAATTCAAATTTATATTTAATAGTTTATCTTTAAATTTTAAATTTGAATTAAATAGTTTTTTTTCATAATTTATTTGATATATAATTTTGCTAAGGATTCACTTTTAGTTAAAAGGAGTTTATTAAAATACATGTATTCTATTTCAATTTATCGTCCATATTATTTGGTCAAGGAGATACCAGGCATATCCACCTCTCATTATTGATATTTATTAATCAGTGCGTGATGTCATGCTTGCACTCAATACTGTTTCCACTGACACACATACTAGTGACAAAGAACTGCACCATGAAATTTTGTAAGACTTTGGGGATTCAACCCATTGATTGTGGTTAGTTGATGCTGCAACAATTAGATACAAAGGAAAATGTTTGGACCCATAAAGGAGGATCTTTATGGCCTTTACTGATATATTAATTATTGATATGTTTGAATTTTTTTGTTAATGTTATATCTGATAGTAATATGAATGGTCCAAATCATTTTGAGATTGTAGAAATTGTGTTTCGTGGGAATCTCTACTATTACTGTAGATACAAATCATATTTTTTAACATGTAAAATAAATAAATAAATAAAAATCTATAAATTATTGAAATGATCTAAATAAATATATTTTTTAGTTTTTTATGAAAAGATATGTAAAAAAATTGAGAGATGATATGATTCAAATAAATTCACTTATTTAAATAAGTATACTTATTTAATTTATGTCAAATAGTGCTTTAATGTAATCAAACCAACTTAGAAAGAAATCTTTGAGGTGAAAATTGAATTGTTGCAATGAAAGTATGATTCTATGATGCATATACTACATTAAGTGGAGCTAGCTAGTAGCACTCTCAGTTAATCTAAGGAGTTCATCAAGCAAATCTGCACCGAGGTCCTCAAACACCACCACATCATCTTGATTTCTAATTTCTTCCTTCTTGTTTTTTCTACTTCGTCTAGAAAACTTCTTTCTCATCTTGTGTGCCTCTTTCAACACTTCAGCCGGGGAGGAACCCGTGCCACATCCATAGCCACAGCCACCATTGTAGTTGCAATTCATGTCAAGAAGTGATTTTTGGACTCTCTCCATTGGAAAGTTGAGGCGAGCCAGGTGACCTCGTATTGCCAATGCAGCTTGATCATAAGCCAAAGCAGCCTCCTCTGCAGTACTAAATGTTCCGAGCCAAACCCTAATTCCATATCTTGTTGAATCACGTATCTCCGCTGCATACTTTCCCCAAGGCCGCTTCCTAACCCCTATGTAGTGTTTTTCCTTTTTGATTTCTTTCTTTTTCTCATTAGACAAATTGGTGTCTGATGATTTTGCTCTTACCTCCTCCTCAGCGCAAACATTGACCGGTGAAGGAAAATTCTCATCCAACATAATTCCTTCACTTGGAAACAAATCGTTATCGAAAAGAAGCTCACCCCAAGACATTAATGGAGACTCAGGCAAGAAATCGAAACTAGGAGACAAATAATCATCCATCAATGTGTTGATAGGTTTTAAGTATAAATTTTACTCTCTTTCAGTCTCTCCCTCCTTCAAAAAGACTTGAATCATATACACCTTAAGCACCTAACAAGTAACACTTTTGATTTTTGAGTTTAAAGAAAATCGAGTAGAAAAAAAATTGATTTAAGAAGAATAGGGTTAGAATTAGATATTGGAAACAAGATATTGTATAAATGAATATAGAGTGGGTGGTGTGGGATTGATTTGTTTGTTTCTCTTTGATCTTTGTTCCTTATATATATATATATATACTTTTCTTGGAATCATACTACTATTTTATTTATAATAGTTTGACGTTGGAAGACAAACTTGGTGGCTGAGTTTAAACACGATTTCAATGGTGTTGTACTTGGTTCTGAATTATATTAAGAATTTGCTTTCAAACCTTCATTAACTCGAGTCCGGACCCTCTGCCATTATTCCCTGCAATGATTAAATGACTTGATTGGAGATAATACAGTATGAGGCCCACATATCCTTTGTGTATAATTTTTTTTTTTTTGGACAATATATAATATACGGCGGGATGGTATGTCCCCCAAAATTGGTGGATAAAAAGATAAATTTACCCCTCTTCTTGAATTTTATATATATATATATATATTCTTGATCTGCTGGAAAACAATCAAGCATCTATAAACAAACAAAATGATTTATTTACTATTTTTACATAAACAATGAAAAATCTAATTTTTTCTATGCGCCAAAAAAATTATTTCTCAGAGCTTTTTTTGTCAATTGGTTTTGCAGATGAATGGTTTGAGACATCTGTTTGTTTAGGTGAAAAGTTCTTTTTTTTTTTTAAATTTATTTACATAAACCAAAAATATATCTACAAAATCAGACTCTTCACCTAAAAAAATCAGATTGCTTACAAAAAGATATATTGATTTCTACGTACAATCTAGGGATAGTTATTTTGAATCAAAATACTTGTTTAAAATAATTTTGTGGTGGTTGTTTGTTTGTTTATTAATATTAATTTGGCATTAATAAATATATATATATATATATATATTTTTTTTTTGGTTGGAAAAATTATTGGAAATTAATTGCTTATAAGTTATATTCCACAATTCATTTTGTAAGAGTGTTGCAAAATACGCCTACCTTTTTACTTTAGCCCCCCACTTCTTTGAACCCCCACCCAACTAAACACGCCCCCCTCTATTTTCTTTTTGAACCCCCACTTTAATTCCAACAATACCCCTCTTTTAGTTGGACCCCGATATTTTTTTTTTCTGTCCTGCTACCGGCAGCCTTCACTGCCAGCACCACCTCCTATGGCACCACCACTACCTTTGGTTCTGTCTCTCCAATGCCACCCCATCCTTCCTCACCTCCGACAACACCCCTACGCAACTCTATCGCAGCATCATAAGACCCAGATAGCGAAATCGACCATTGCGACCACCACAACCTTCACAAAACCCTAGCTCTCCAGTAAACAAATCTCCACCATTTTTGACCCACAAACAATCGAAAAAACCCAGAATCGAAAGTCAATCTCGTTACACAACGGCAAATGAAGCAATAAATAAATTTTAAAAAAAAACTTTCCAAAATCAACCATCAAATTGTTTGTGGATTTGATGTTTCACTGTGATACTTTTTGCACCCTCCACTTTATTGATGTCTTATAGCATACTTTGTATGTTCATCATCAATAAAACTTCTTTTTGCTGATCAAAAAAAAAATTGTTTGTGGATTTTGATGATTGGTTTTAACCTAGAAATCTCCAATTGCTAATGTTGCCAGATTTTGCAGCCCCGGCGAACACCTTCCACAACGCTCACCAACTGAGAAGTCACACTAGATTTGCACCAAGCCCAGTTGGATCAAAGCGTCACAAACCCAAATAGCAAACTAGAACTCGCGATCAGAAGCTCCATCGTCTGAAATGACAACAAATACCATGACTGATGGTGCCCTTAGCGATGACGAGGCCCGATTGTAACCATCAAACTCTTTCTCTCTCTTTCTCTCTCTCTCTCTCACATACACACACTGTAGTAGGTTGTGGGGTTAGGCTTTTTAGGGGAAATGATGGAGAGGCAACATCAGAAAAGGAAGGCGACTGACCAAAGGTGGTAGTGAAAGGGGGATAGTGTGATAGCCGGAAGTGGTGGTGACCGCCAGAGGTGGATGGGATTAGAATTAGGGTTTGGGAATTATAAATGAGGGTAAAAATAGAATTTTATGTTTGGGCAAAATTGGAAAAAACAAAAATGAAGGAGTTTGGGGTTCTAAGAAGAAAGGTAGGGATGAATAGCAACCCTCTTTTGTAAAACAAACATGACAACATATATCCAGTGTTATATATCAAGTTAACAAACATGAATGGTGGGATATATTATTGAATATATATATCCTATTCATATATATCATGAATAAATTCTACATGACATTATATCATCCATTTTATATCCAGTGAAACAAATAGGACTAGAGAGGTGGTTGCATGGTAAAAAATGCCAATGAGTATTAAAATGTGATGATAAAATATTTTAGTTTTTAGTGAAGGTTAAAAAGGCATTTTTAAGACCTGGGGGTTAAGACCCCAGGTCTCAAGTTCAACACTTCTTGGGCCAACTTCATGGGCATAGCACAATTGGTTAGGAGATTAGCCTCAAGTTATTGTTATCACAGCACTTGGTGTGGGTTCAATACTCTTACGCTGCGTAAGTCCTAATTTAAGTGAAACTTGTCTTGGGAGGTCGGACAAGTCACTACAACAATTTGCACTTTTAGCAACGTTTTGTTTGGTCATCAAAAGTATATTTTTCAGAATTAAAAGTATCAATGACCTAAAAAAAAGGGTTGCTGAAGCCTCGTCACTAAATGATTCGGCGACCAAATACACTACGATCACGCTTTTAAAAGAATCAATGGCCAAATAGTTTAGTCGCCAAATACCAAAAAATCATCGCTGTAAAACAACATTTAGTTGCTAAAAATAGCCTTAAACAGATGCCATGTTAGGTTTTAGCGACCTATAAAAATGTCGCTAAAACATCCGTCAGCAACCAAACAAACTAGTTGTTAAATGCCAAATCTTTTGGTGACTAATCAAGATTTTGGTTGAAATCTTTGAAGTTGATGTTTGAAAATTTCATATAGCCTTGAAATAACTAGAATGCCAAGAATTTTTGCATGATGAGACGTTGTTGTTGTGTATTGATGGCATATAGTTATTTTGCGAAATAACATTGAAAAGAGAAAATGGGAAACGTATTTGCTTCAATATTGTTGTCAAGATACTTGAAATTGCAAAGGTAATTATCTTGCATTGTGAACTTTGATTTGGAAATATTTCTTTAAGTAAAAGTTATGTTTTGAATACGAATTATGGAAATGTTATCGGGTAAATATGTTAGTAAGTCCAGTTAGGAGGTGTAGATGAATTTGATAAGTTGGCCTGAGTGTCCAGGGTAAAAGACCGAAAACACGCACGAATGAGGTATCACTTCCCTTCCGGTTAGCAACCAGTAAAGTGGGTTATTGGTAGTGCTTGTTGAGCCTACTTGCAGATACCAACCTAGGGATTACCAAATTCGTACTTACCGCCCCCTTGTGTTTAAATTGGAAGGTTGGAATTGATGATATTGCAAAATGTTACTGAAAACATGGTGATTTTTAAGAAAAACATGACATGGGATTTTCATTGAAATGGCATTGCATGGCATTTGCATTTGCATTTGATATTGGAAATCTTGCACAAATGTATATACTTTGTAAGGATTTCCCTACTGGGCTTTATGCTCACCCCTATGGAATTTTGGTACAGGTAAAGATGTAGTGATCCCGTCGAGCTAAGAGTGTGGATATGTTTTGTGAAGAGTAGATTACTCTTTTATTTTGTTGTAAATTTTTGTAAAGCCAAGGGCCAACATGTATGGGTCCGATGGATCATTTTTGTGTAACCAGGCTCATGCCTTGGAATTTGTAAGCCCTTGAGGGCCCTTATTCATTTTGGTTTAATGATTTCACATGCTATAGATTCATGTACTAGCTTTCAATGAATGTGTATTCACATGTGAGATTACTTTTGTATAAACATTTGAAGTTTTGTAATGGAATATTGTGCTTACGACCTTCTGGTACCTCTTGTGTATCGGGATTATTACTTAGTGATTATGGGTTGATGTATTATATTTATGTTGGATTATTTCGAGGTGTTACATTCTGCTCTCAATCGGTTGTGCGCTTGAGCGACTCTTCTTGAGCTTGAGCGGTAGGTATCTATCTGTAAAACTACCAGGAGAGTATATTCTATGCTCAAGCGACACTTCCTGCGCTCAAGAGGTAACTATTTTTGTATCTGAACGCTTGAGTGTCACTTCTTGCGCTCGAGCAGACTGTGCGTATATCAGTTCGTAATAATCATTTTTTCATAACTCTCTATCTAAACTTTCTAAAAATCCTAAGTTGAGACTCTCTGTTTCTCTCTCTAAAACTCACATTCTCTCTTCTAAAACAATTGTATCCATTGATTTCTCTACCCTACTTCCTTTGAGAAAAAGGTAGAGCTCATTTTTATCCGAATAGAGTTGGGTTTCGGCTTCATACGAGTTTCATCCACGTTTGTCTCGTCTTCTAGCTTTGAGGTGGGGATTCTCTACACTTTTTTATGGTTTTTAACCTAACTATTTGTTTTTTTCAAAACAATCTTGTGATTTTGGAAGATTTTGAACAAACCTAGGTTTTGATTTGAAATCAAAAAAGGAGTTTTCAAATGGATATATTGAAAATGGTTGTGGGATTGAAAATGATGTTGAGTTGTGATAGAATTGTTGAATCTATTCTTGGAATGGATTTTGAAAGAAAAAAGGGTTTTGTCATAATTGTCTCAAATTTTTATTTTGTATAAATAAATGGAATTGATCTTGGAAATATAAAATCGGATGGATATTGATATGGACATGTATTAGCACTCACATACTGAAATTGGAAAGTTTATCTATTGTCGAGATTTTATATCTGTTTAGAAATATTAGTTTCGGACTATCGGTAGAGGATAACTATGATTGTTGTAGAAATTACATAAGGATTAGACGAATTGAAATCAATTTTTCATCCATTTGCATTGAGCATTATCACATCTTGATACATTGTACAAGTATAATGATTTTGAGAAAAATAGGTAAACGTGGAAAAGAAGTATGTATCACCAAATCAAGTTGGTCTGTGT